TCCGTCTCTCAGACTTCTGCAGAGAGAGAGAGAGAGAGAGAGAGAGAGAGAGAGAGAGGAAGATGCAGTCACAAAAATGAAATGAAAATAAATATGCAACAAGAAACCGAGAAACAGTAATGTCAAAAGCAAGGCAGAGACAGTCAGCAAATATGTGGCCACTGAATCTTATGTCTGTGTTTAGGAAGTGCATCAGCCACAAAACCCTACTTGTTGTGTAAGAGACCTTTAGTTGTGAAGCCACTTTGATATTTGTGCACTTTTTCCAGACAGACACATAAACAATCCTTTTACATTCATGAGTATGCTTGTCTATTGAGTCTAGAAACATTTTTCTCCAGAATTGTTATTGCAGGTTTGGTAACATATACACAACTGTCCATGTTTGGTGAGACTTTTACGATGTTTTTGAAAGAAGACTCTTATGCTCATCAAGGATGCATTTGTTTGATTTATTTTTTTTTTTTTCATAGAAGTATTTTGTAATATAATTTTTTTGCTGTCACTTAATTTAATGCATCCATGCTAAATAAAATTATTTCTTAAAAATATCTTACTAACTCGAAATATATAAAATGTAGTGTATAATGTATGATTTGACTAATATTTTATTAGCCAAAAAAATGCTGCAAAGGCATATCTTTATAACTATATGTTGTCATATAAACAAACAGTCAGTGATGATAATGATTCCACAAAACAGTTTTTGCTTCATTCACCAAATTCTCACAAAGTTCATTCAGTGAATGATTCAGATTATTTCAGATGGCTAACTTGTGAGCTGATTCATTAAAAGTTCACTGTATGTGAGTTAATCGTTCATGAATTAGATTACTGTTTTGAATGCACAACACAATATGAAGAGATGTGTATTGACATTAATTCATGGTACAGTGTTTTTTATCTCCTCAAATTCAAACTGCAAGCTCACAACTAAGCTCACAACATGGTAAAATGTACACTTCTATGGTGCTGTAGACTTTGGACTGAAAAGCAGTGCAGGAAACAATGCATTAATGCCAACTGCACCCTTACCTCTTGCTCTGAGATGCCATCGATGATCTCAGAAACCTCATGTTCGCTGCGGGCTGCTGAGGCCAAACCCCCACCTCGCTGAGCCACTCTACTGTAGAGAAACATAAATATAGATATAAATACACTTATGAGACCACACGACCATGCAAATGTCTCCAAAGTTCACAACAACACAGGACCACTCACTTCTGCATGCGCTCCTGCAGCTCCCTCTGTTTGCGGATCTCAGGAAACTGTTTTTCGTAATACTCCCGCACTTTGCTCTCTTTGGCTCTGCGGCGCGGGTTATTCTCGATGCGCTCAACTTTCTTCTCCCAGGCCTCCATTAGCTGGTCGTAGCGCTGGCAGAATTTCTGTTCCTGAACACACAAGTCAGAACATAAAGGGTGAATATCAAAGTATTGAAAGCATATGCTGCAGTAAAGTCACCAAGAGAGGAAACATTAGAATGAAAGTAATTACTAAAAGCTAACAGTTCCAATCTAGTTTTTAACCACCCCATTATTCAATAACTACACTCTTTCCTAACATTAAGATCCTCACTGGGATCCTATGGAAGGCTATTCTTGTTGTCCTAGTACTGAATAAACAAATGTGCCCAATATTCAGGTACTGCGAGCTGCTACAGTGCCATCCTGCTGTGTGTTTCTATGTGTGCATTTGAGTGTTATCACTTACCCACTGTTTGCGAGCATGATTTCTTCTTTTGAAATACAGAATAAGCTTCTTCCTCATTGCCTGATTTCTGTAAAAAGGGAATACATAATCATTAGAAAACAAAATGCTACCTCTAAACTTCAGCTGTGATGCATCTCATCAATATTTGCATATACAAGAGAGTTCAAGTGTAAGCATCAGTGAGCTTTGTGCGACAAAGCAAAAGGCAAACATATGTTGCAAAGGTCTAGGACCCTAGATATGGCTTGGGTCCCTCCTTCAATGCAAAGTCTTTTTTGGGGGGGCTTATTTTTTTTTCCACAATGTGGAAATTGTAAGTCTGATCACTTGGAAAATGAACAGCACAAACGGCACTAGCAACATACCTAAGGAACACTAAAAATGTAACAAATTTAAGACAATATAGCTCAATGCAAATAATATTTTAAAATACATTCAAATGGAACATGGTTATTTGTAATTGCAATATTTTACAATATTACTGATTTAAGGTATTTTTGATCAAATAAAATGAATGCAGCTTTGGTGAGCATTAGAAACTTTAAAAACATTAAACATCTTAAAAAAAAAAAACCCTACTGACCTCAAACTTTTAAAGTTAAATGTTAGTTTGTTTATTTGTGTGTTTACGAGAGAGTTAGCTAGCTAGTTAGCCAGCAATGCAGAAAAGTCTTAGATCTTTGAGTTCAGCTCAAAAACAAAAGTGTTGCGTTTATAATTTTGTTCAGTGTAGTAATCATCTTATTCTCTCACTGCATGCTGATTAATTCTCTCACACGGCAGTGGTCATGACCATTGATCTAATTAATCATTAAATGCCTACACGTCAAGAAAAATCGGCCTGGCATCATGTGCATTTGATGAGACACTGGTGCAACTTGGCAGGATCTCTTTTGAGTCATTGGTTTATGTTTGTACTTGCGCGAGTGAGATTAAGTGTGTAGGTGCAGAGGTGGCACTGCATTACACAGCAGATGGCCTGCAGGATTAGCTGCTGTGCGAGACGCACTGGAACCTAGAATGCAGCCCAATGCCCATGATCTACCCACACATCAATTATTACACAAATATTTCCCACTGGTGCTGCTCAGGTTGATAAAGGACTCCTGAGAACAAAACCCTCAATTGTGTGTGATTAAAGAACAGCTGAAATAAATATTCTGTCTTTCTCAAACACATTTTTGCATGTCTGTGAATTATGAGGCCACAGGGTTTATTATGAGGGGGTAGAATCCACAGCTCAGTACTCAGTACTCAATACTCATGAGTACTTTTAAATAGGCTACTCTTTTACTCTTACTCAAGTAGTTTTTTTTGGACAAGTACTTTACTCTACTCGCACTACATTTTTTGGAAGGTAATGGTACTTTTACTTGAGTATATTTTTTCAGTACTCTTTCCACCACTGCAAATAACCCAAAATACCACAGAAAGAATGGAAGGAAGGGATTTGTTAACCACAATAAATAAAGGTATGATCACACATGCAAAAGCAGATCCACTGTCAATAAAGTACAGCTCACACCGAAGATGCTTTCAAACTAAGCAGCTTTCTGGTTGTCATCGTGGCAAATTTGACCAATTTGAACCCAGGTGACATCTGCGAACTTTTCCGTCCTTACGCAAAACTCCACATTGCTTGCAATCCTATTAGAATGATGGGATTTCAACCGGGAAATTTCGCCGAGCAACGGTAAATGTGAGGACCTTAAGTGAAATTATTTTATAATTTTTATTTTAATAATTTTTGTTTCTCTGTGGAATCATAATCATAACAGTTCAATAATGGTCAAAATGGTCTTCAGCTGCATTATGCACAGTGCTGAGAACCAAAATTTCACATAAAAGAAGATTAAACAAATTCTGTAAGTGTGGGACTAAATGAACAAACATTTAAGAAACTTTAATATTAGAATATTTATTGGGCTCTAATAGGGGTTGGCAATATGACCAAAATCTTATATCACGATATGAGTAATTTTATTTGACAGTAACAATATCACGATATAGGCCTAGCTATTTTTGCTTTAAATAAGGTTGCCATAGAAATTTCATAATTCTTAACATCAGTGTCAGTCTCACCAAAAAACTCAAGCTCACTGAAGACAAGTAAACTGTCAAGAATCTAATTACAAGACAAAAACTACAGTATAACAAATAAATAAGAAATGTTACATACATTGTACAAAGTAATCAAATGTATAAAAACACTGCATATTCTTCTCTGTGTAAATTAAATAAACATTTCTTCTTATTAAAGTTGCAAAAGTGATTTAGTCAAGAGCAGTGAGAGATTTTCTATCTTTTATTGTTTGATTAACATGAATGACAGACAGCAGGAATATTAGACTGCTGTCACTTTAAGAGCTGCCCAGATCCAATATACTGTTACACATGTGTTTATGTGGATACTTGCAAAGACACAAAAGTGTATTTAACTGTTCAAGGCCTATAAAGTGGCAAAATAATCCATTCAATGCTCCCGTGCTCCATGAGCACCATCTTCACGTGTGCGCACCTCTCAGACAGCACAGAGAAACCGTCTCTCAGACAGGGCTCGCATATAAAGAAGGAAAAAGGAATATATAAGGAATATAGCGAAACGAGTTCCCTATCGCTGCAGATTGCGTTTCAATAGTAGTACAGCAAATGTCATGTAATCATTATAAACGCTGCAGTAAAGAAGGTGGCAAATAAGCATGATTGTAATTGTTTAAGCTACAGATCTCTTTCTCTCAGTGGATGGAGTAGTTTATGGTTCTGAATGAAACAACGAGAGATACAGAGAAGTATACTCACATCTTGATGTTCTCATGGTACTGCTTGGTATCAGACGGCTGGTTATACAAAGGCTGTAGGGGAGACAAACGAAAGCAGTGGAGTTCAGTTTCACACACACACCACGGTCACATCAATGCATCCCAGTTCTGGGAGAACTTCTCTTTTTCTACCGTCCCATTTTTCAGCCAAGCCCAGAAACACAGAGGAGAGTGTCCTCTCCAACACCACATCTAAAACCTTCTGTTACCATCAACATTACACACTTGTTTGAGCTGCCAAGCAAAGGATTTTTCTGTGGGAAAAATGGACATGTGGCAGTGTGTCTCTTCTGTGTCAAAGTGTATGATAAAAGAGGTGGCACCAGAAGAGCTGTTCTATCACCTCGATTATCAAGGCATTGGTGGTCACTTCCGGTTAGGTTTCTAATCTAATGGATGCTAAGTGGCATTGCGTTAAATGTCTCTGCACGAGGTAAACAGCCATGTTGTAAACAAATAGGCAGCAGTGCATGTAGTCACACACACAGGCTGAAGGAGTTCATATTTCACACTGTGGAGGTCATGTTACAGCTGTAGGTTTTCATACACCTCAAATAATAAAATCACATTAAAAAAACAATACATATTAAAAAAAGATGAATTAAGAAATCAGTTCATTCATTTCAGAAAAAACCTGTCAAACACTGTGAAAAATTCTGAGTAACACTGCAAAGAACATTATGAACATGATTGTGAGATATGTTGTCACAGGATATGATGACATAAACTGAAGACCATCAACGCTGACAATCGGCTGATGCGACACCTGACCCCTTTACTTTTTGAAAACGACACTGTGCAAGTACATGAGCTGAACTGATACAAAATATATTTACTCTAGCATCATAAGCTCTTTTTAAAAGAGAAGATGAAAAAAAGGGGCAAAATGTGAAAGGATAATACGAGGAGAAATGTGGACTCACCAGCTCTACTCGGGGACCGAGTCCCTCCAGGATGCGATGAGCCTCCTCTGCCTTTTTCTGTGAAAAAAACAAACAAAAAAAACACAGCGCACATGTCAGCGGCACATCACCACAGCAACACACCTTACACTCTCTCTAGCGCACACACATAAACAAGCCAGTGTATAAGGGATGTACTATTAATAGATCTCTCAACAGAAGACACTCGCTGCCCTCTGCCATCTACCTCTCTCCCCTCTCTCTTTGTGAATAAGGAGAGAGAGAGAAAGAGGGGGAGAGGGAGAGAGAAAGAAGGCTGGGGTCAATTGCCAAGGTGTCCGTAGAGGGTTGTGGTAATCCAATTAGATGCAATAAAGAAAGTAGAATCTATTACATTCTGTGCTGTCTTGCTCAAATGCAGAGAGAGCAAGAGAGAGAAAGTAACAGAAAGAGAAACAAAAACAATCTGCGAGACGCGAGTGCAACGCTGATAGATGTCCCTCTAGAAAATGTGATAAATACGCGTTCTGTGTGAACGGCTTGTTTTGACGTTTCAGTTTTGACGTAAACAACATCATCTCCACACTGATGCTCTCGTTTTCCGCAATATATGAATGAACAACGTAGCAGCGCCGCGTCTAGTGGGTTCAACTGGATAGGCTAACAACAGCATTCAAATGCAATGACACATACATCGTCATCGCATCTCGTGCGCCATTGATAAGGCTGCCTGTCGGCTGACGCAGACCTTAAATTCGAATGCAACGTTTTTGCATTCGAATGTGGATTTTTTTTTTTTTATTCGACGAATATTCAAAATTCGAATATTTTTTTGACAGCCCTACTACTAATATTACTTAAAATATAAACGAAATCATTCAATCAGTTAAACAAATATATTATGTCAAAATGCATATTTCTGTTCTAAATCAATGCTCTCCCTTAAATGTATGTTTTTCTACATTTGACTGACATATGTACACAATAGGGATGTGCATCTCATAACTGAGGCCAATGCGATACGCATCTCGATGCATAGCCAACGATACAATACATTGAAGATACATATGAAGCAGCTACCGATGCGATGCGATACGATTCACCATTACGATGCAATGCGATTCGATTTCGATTCCATTCAACACAATGCGATTCAATGCAATACGATTCAATGGAAAAAATATTGCTTTTATTTCTTTGGTTCAGACAGACAGCAAATCATAAATTAACTTATGTGTCTTGACATCTAATGCCTCGAGGCCTGTTTCGACCAAATAGGCCAGGCTTATTTCAGTTAGTCTGACTCATTGTCAAATGATGTGGTTCCATAAAGCAAATTTAACATAGATCAACCTCAGTCACTATTGCAACTTATGCTGGAAAACTAACTTGGTCCAGGGCAGGCTAACTGTCAGGCTAAGCTGAGGTCCTCTAACACTGACCAATAGGAACGCAATGATATTACCAACTGACTCTCTCACATACAATTATAGCCATGCAGCCTTTCTCTCTGGTTTTATGACAGCTGTACATTTTATAGTTAGCAGAACAGATAGCAGAATATTAGAACATCACAATCTAAAAATGCTCTTTAAAGCATTAAAATCACTAAATTAAAACTACATTTTAACTGCTATAAGAAACACACATTAAAGTGCCCCTATTATGGGTAATGAAAGGTTCATATTTTGGTTTTGGGAGTCCCCAACAACAGGTTGACATACATGCAAGGTCAAAAAACACTTTCATTGTCTTATATGCATTTATTTTTACCTTACTTGCTCAACGCCTCCCAAACGATTCGCTCAACGATTCATTTTTCCAAACCCCTCATTTGCGTGACGCTAGTCTGCGGTGATTGGTCCAATTGGTCTCATTTTCATTTCATCATGCCTGTAATGCCTGATAAAGCAGCGTTTGTGAGCGCAGTGCTGCTTTGTGTACAGCGTTACCGGGGAAACCGCTATTTT